ATAAGAACTACTTTTAGAATCTTGCATAAGGAATCGTTCAGGACCCTGTTTACCACCTATGTCAGACCAATCCTGGAATATGTATCTCTAGCCTGGAGTCCATAGCTAGTTAAACACAAGACAAAGTTCGAGAAGATTCAGTGGTATTCCACCAGACTCGTCTTGGAACTAAGAGATATGAGCTACGAGGAAACGATAAAGGAACTGAACCTCACGTCCCTGGAAAACAGAAGAGTAAGGAGCGACATGATAACTACCTACAAAATTCTCTGGGAATTGACAGGGTGGACAAAGACAAAGTCTTGAGCACGAACAAGGGGGGTGGGCGGGCACGAACAAGGGAACACAGGTGGCAACTTAGTGTCCAAATGAGCCATAGAGACATTAGAAAGAATTTTTCAGTGTCAGAGTAGTTAACAAATGGAATGCATTAAGTAATGTGGTGAATGCAGACGCCATACACAGTTTCAAATGAAGTTAAGATAAAGCCCAATAGGCTCAGGAACCTGTACATCAGTTAATTGAGAAGAAAGGCGGGACTAAAGAGTCAGAGCTCAACCCCCGCAAGCACAACTAGGTAAGTACAATTAGGTAAGTATTAGACTCTATAGGCCCCTTTTCAGAGTAAACAGCCAACCCCACCCTCACCCCAAGCCCTACAAATCTCTATACAGAGTACACATCTATCTCATCCCTCACAAAAGACTCCCTATAGAGTACACAACCATTTCAACCCCTCCTACCAGTCCTTATAATTATCACTAAGGTGTACACAGCCAGTCCAACCCTCACATCAGACATTGCAAGCCACATTGCACAGTACACATCCAGTACAACCCCAACATCAGACCCTTCAAGCCTACTTACAGAGTACACTACAGAGACCATAGCCAGTTCAATATTCACACCAGACCCTAAAAGCCTCATTACAGAGTACACATCCAACCCAACACTCACACCAGACCTTACAAGCCTCACTACTGAGTACAAAGCTAGTCAAATCCTCACACCAAACCCTTCAAACCTTAGAGGATACACATCCAGTCCAGCCCTCGCACCAGATCTAACAAGCCTTACTATAGTGTACACATCCAGTCTAACCCATCATAGCCTGGACCCCATCATAGCCCCTGGCGCAAGTCTCACTGCCTCCACTACCACTCCGGAGACTACCACGAGGTCTATTTCAACACAGACTACAGAACCACCCATGACCCGGGCGGCACAAACAGAGGTAATTCCCTCTCTAGCTCTCAACACTCCTACCATCAGCATCTCAGCAGCCGCGCTAGCAGACGCGCTGTCTACAAATGCTAACAGCGCCACCAACGATCCTGAAATAGCTACTACCACCAACCCACGACACCTGAGCCTACCTAAGGCTGCGAGGCAAAAGACCATAACACCAACTACAGAGGTTACGGATTCCTCAGACGAGAAAATCTTAGTAGGAGCTCCACCGCCGCACCACAAATACGACACCTACTCGGTTCAAGACTTTCTCATAGAGGGAATTGACACCAAACTACAACGATAGCACGACTCGGCCAAAGTCGTAGGCAAAGAAAAGTCGGAAAACATTAAGGTCTACACTAACCCCACCAGCTCCATAACTGGTACAGCCAGCCCTTTACGAGTGAAAACCACCAAGAAGACCCCAATCCATAGCCAGATCTCTGATAACAGCCATTGATACAGATAATGGCTCAAAAGAGCCTCCACTTACGGGCTCACCATAGCCCGTGCTACTGGAACTTCTTGTTCTGAGTAGTTGAATGTAAGACAACGACGACTACGACAGTCTAACCCTCACAACAGACCCTACAAGCCTCGCTAAGGAATACACATCCAGTCCAACCTTCACACCAGACCCTATAAGCTTTAATACAGAGTACATGTCGGAAAATCCGACACCATTTAATAATCATACAGATAATAGCTGTATTGTATAAACAAGTTACCCATAGAAAACGTAACTTGTAGTGGAATTACCGTCTAAAGAAAACGGGATATCATCACCACACACTATTATAATTCACCACCTATTATGGTGGGAATTATTCTTAAATACATTAGTCTTTGGACTTTACCATCATAAAACATCTTATATAAATTAACTTAATTATCATTATTAAAGTAGAGTAAATGTGACCCTTCTATCACTTTCTGAAATCTGGACAATGTAAGCCAGGGTCAGTGGGGAAGGAGGGCAGCCATTGTTGTGTCACATCCGAGACGCGTGGAGCAAATTTGGCTCCTATCATATCTGGACAATGTCGGCCAGGCGTCAGTAGAATGGAGTGTTAGACATTGCCATTGTTTATACGAGACCAGAGGCTCACACGGGAGCAAATTCGGCTCCTGTTAAATTTACTTGGACGAAGTGTTATGGAAACCAGTGGTGTACCATTATCACACGCTGTCAACAAATTCAAGTTAAGTGTTCTTTCCGAAACCCATTATCTATCATTAGTGGCCATTAATGTCATTGGGTAGGGTTAGCCGGTTAGAACGCGAAATCGCCTCATACTAAAGGTAATTAAGCCAGGTCTTTATTGTTCCATGTATACAGTTTTCTCTGAAATACTTGTCATATATAGGTATCTGGCTTTACAGCTAGCGCCCTTTTGACAGGTCAAGACGAGGAAGCAAGATTGTGCACCAGTTACTGGGTGATGGAAGCTACCTCAAAGAGGATAATTTGGTGTCTACACCCTAGTTATACCTGGTGGACTAACCTGCTGTACTATAAGATAAGGAACCTTTTCAATGTATGTAGTCTAATTCTGTAGTTTGATTGGCTGCATATATATAAACTAATAAACCCCCCCTAATGTGTAGAGGATCGATTTGTGAGATTAAGAGATTATTGCAGAAATACAGTCCACTTATCATTATACAAATTGCTATCGAAGTATATAAATTAACGTAAATATAAATTCATATAAATTAAATAAATATAAATCTCACAGGTCGGTTCCCACATTATTTGGACCTTCGGAACCGGAATATTCGGTCCTTTGAACCCACATTTGGTCATCTTAGTACCGGATGAACCAGTTAACCAGTGGATTCATTAAATATACTAGTGCAGTGTTATTTAAACAAAGGCCAGCAGTCAAGACGGCAGTGTAGCCTCGAGGGAGCTCAGGAGCCTCCCTCAGCCGAGTTCAGCTTCGTCAGCGGTTTCATGCACACCCACAGATATTTGGTGGCGTGTTATTTCGTGAAATGACAACGCTAATATAGAAGCCAGCCAAATTAGTGACTGTCGCGAGATTGTTCACGGATTTCGTGGTGTTACATTTCGCGAGAGATTATCTACGAATTTTGTGGACTTTATTTCGCGAGGTCACTAATAATATTTAATACTTCTAGATAATATTAGAAGTTTCATAGAGGCTAATTAAGAGGCTATTATCAATAATTGTGTATATTATTTCTCCAAAATAGAGAATTATTTAATATATATTGCACTAGTGATCACAGTATAATATTTACTAATTGCCAACCCACAACAGGGTAGGATATTAAACATTGACTAGTTGAACTATTATCGTTCATCTTAGTCCCATTATTACCATAGTCAGTTGTACTATATTGAATAACCTAACACCATTAATGAATGGTCCAGACCCTATTTTGGGTGTAATTTTTATCAACTCGAGTTGAGTTGTGTATATATAATAATTTACTTATGATCATTACACCTTTGAGTGATTAATTAGTGTCTCTACCATCCTAGGGTGATATAGAAGAGCTAACCTAAAGGTACTTCCAGTGACATTGGTTTATCACTCAATTCATTAGTGTGTATGATTGTATATATATAATGTGTATTAATTTTAAGTGCTAACCTCTAGCAGAGGTAGGATTATTGCCTAGTGAGTGCAGAATTTACCCTAGGCTACCATCAGTGCTTGTTCAGTATTATGAGCAGCCCAAGTACAAGTCCCACAAGGCTTCACCAACGAGCCAGTATGGATAATGCAGGGAGAATGAAAAGAACCCTTGCAGGTCTTAAAGGCCACTTAACAAGACAGATCAAGAAATGTGAAGATTTGTCACAACAATCTCAAGTTGATTATGCTGACCTGGAAAGCTATTATCAAGCAGCTGCAGGTAAATTTGAGCAAATCAAATGTCAAATAGCAACATATGTGGCTGAACTTGCCAACACCAATTTATCAGAAACAGAAATAGACGACATTATGGTTGATCTTGCGAATTATGAAGATCACACTCAGGCCACGTTACAGCCTTATGTCAAATTAATTGCCCAGAACAAGGCAACAACAACAACAACAGTTGCATCTAATACGAGTCAAGCAGAAGCTCGACTCCCTCCAATTAATTTACCCACTTTCTCAGGAAAAGATGAGGAAGATTGGGACGAATTTTGGAACAAATTCGTTGACCTTGTAGACTCAAAACAATCTTTACCAAAGAGTAGTAAATTCTCTTATTTGCAAGGCCAATTATCAGGTGAGGCTAAAACAGTAGTATCCCATCTGAGATTAACTAATGACGGCTATGATCTGGCAGTAAAACTCCTCAAGGATAATTATGCTGATCCAGAAGTAAGAACATCACATTTACTTCATGAGCTGTTGCATTTACCCCCACCGGAGGCTTCAGCTGATTCACTCCAAGTCTTCAAGCTGGAGGTAGAATCATTGATCAATGCCCTCAGCCTGACAGCAGATACAAACGGGGCTGAGTGGGTCTTGAAAATAATTGTCCAGGAGAAAATACCTAGGGACATATTGAAACAAATGAGTGCTCATTACAATAAAAGCATCTTATCCATGAATGAAATATCTGAAGGTTTAAAGTCAGTAGTTCATCAATTACGAACACATGACAAATTAAAACCACCAAGTAAACCCTCAGAAACCAATAATAGTAAACCACAGAGTACCAAAGGTACTCCAAATCAATCTAGACAATATAATTCAACACCAAAGTGGAACAGTAGCAGTGTGGGCGTATATGCAGTGGGACCCTCCAAGCCTATAGTTACTGTGTCACCCAAGAACGTGACACCAAAGGGTACTGGAAACTATGGAACATGTTTGTTCTGCAATGAGAAACATTCAATGTACCACTGCTCTAATTTTCCTGATAGTGATGCACGTGTTGAGCGACTCAAAGATTTGCAACATTGCACGAGGTGCCTCAGGAAACATAACATCAAGGACTGTGATACCCAATTACACACCTGTAATAGGTGTAACAAAGGTCAGCACCATGCAGCATTGTGCAGAGACACCAAAACAACGTCTCCAAACCCCAAGGTGGAAGATAGCATTCCCACCACAGTACAGTACTGCAAGGTGCAACCAACAAAGAGTGTCCAATCGGCAAAGTCTAAAGGTAATACGACTTTGCCTACTGCCCAAATTACCATCCTGAATAAGAGGGCCAAGGTCCATACCCGTGGGTTGTTTGACCAAGGGTCCCAGAGAACATATGTCACTAAAAAACTGGCAGATGAATTACAATTAAGGCCTGTAGCCCAGATGTCATTCAACATCTCAGGGTTTGTAACAGATGCAGGACCTTAAGTCTACCAGGTGGTACAACCATCAGTACGTTTAGGCAGGTACGTCTGTAGAGTACAAGCCATTGTGGTGGACAAAATACCAGTAGACCTACAAGTTCAAGGTCTGAGAGCAACAGCCAAATTCCTGAGAAATAGAGGAATAAAATTGGCAGATAATATTAAGTCTGATCACCTCACCGACTTCGGTCTCCTTGTAGGGACAGACTATTGCCATCGATTCATCGGTAGCCCTACTAAATATCAGGGTATAACCATGTTAAACTCTGCAGGAGGTAAATTACTCTCAGGCCCAGTATCAAGCCTGAGGAGACCTATGCCTGCAGATAAACAATACCAGTAGAAATCTAAATTTGTCAGCTGATTATATTTCTCCAGTAGCATTATACTAAGGAGATTACAGCTGACTATAGTAACAGAGGTTGATGTTAGTATCATCATGTAAAGCTGAAGATGAGTTCATGAGGCCTCAGTGGCAAATCAGTGAACAGTAGCTTAAGCAGCTACAAGTCACTGCGACCAATGTCACTGAACCCACTGCAGTCTCAGAACCATACTTTACTTTAATGATGAGCTATTCAATCTTCTGAATCAATTAACTAAATTAAACCCCAATAAATCTGATGACTGATTTGATACATTTATTATTTAATCAAGATGTATTCCATGGGCCTCAGTGTTTATATATCAGTGACCAGTTACCTGAACAAACTTCAAGTTATATCTAATGTCACTGATCTCACTGCAGTCCCTGAATCATACTTGACTGTAGTACTTGATCACATTCAGTCTTCTGGGTTAAATAATATGTAATAGGCTTGAATATTAGCCTTTCAAGAGTTGACAGGGAAATGAAATCGCGTTAGACTTCTAACCCCTGCAACTCTAGTACGGGACATCCGTCCTGTACGAACAGACACAAATGTGCGATTACTAACTACTAACATCAAATTAATCTAATAATCCGAAGGAGGAGTATCGGTGTTCGTCTGTTCTAATTAGGACTTCGACCCGTGAGCAGCCCCTGGGGAATTATGTCGGAAAATCCGACACCATTTAATAATCATACAGATAATAGCTGTATTGTATAAACAAGTTACCCATAGAAAACGTAACTTGTAGTGGAATTACCGTCTAAAGAAAACGGGATATCATCACCACACACTATTATAATTCACCACCTATTATGGTGGGAATTATTCTTAAATACATTAGTCTTTGGACTTTACCATCATAAAACATCTTATATAAATTAACTTAATTATCAATATTAAAGTAGAGTAAATGTGACCCTTCTATCACTTTCTGAAATCTGGACAATGTAAGCCAGGGTCAGTGGGGAAGGAGGGCAGCCATTGTTGTGTCACATCCGAGACGCGTGGAGCAAATTTGGCTCCTATCATATCTGGACAATGTCGGCCAGGCGTCAGTAGAATGGAGTGTTAGACATTGCCATTGTTTATACGAGACCAGAGGCTCATACGGGAGCAAATTCGGCTCCTGTTAAATTTACTTGGACGAAGTGTTATGGAAACCAGTGGTGTACCATTATCACACGCTGTCAACAAATTCAAGTTAAGTGTTCTTTCCGAAACCCATTATCTATCATTAGTGGCCATTAATGTCATTGGGTAGGGTTAGCCGGTTAGAACGCGAAATCGCCTCATACTAAAGGTAATTAAGCCAGGTCTTTATTGTTCCATGTATACAGTTTTCTCTGAAATACTTGTCATATATAGGTATCTGGCTTTACAGCTAGCGCCCTTTTGACAGGTCAAGACGAGGAAGCAAGATTGTGCACCAGTTACTGGGTGATGGAAGCTACCTCAAAGAGGATAATTTGGTGTCTACACCCTAGTTATACCTGGTGAACTAACCTGCTGTACTATAAGATAAGGAACCTTTTCAATGTATGTAGTCTAATTCTGTAGTTTGATTGGCTGCATATATATAAACTAATAAACCCCCCCTAATGTGTAGAGGATCGATTTGTGAGATTAAGAGATTATTGCAGAAATACAGTCCACTTATCATTATACAAATTGCTATCGAAGTATATAAATTAACGTAAATATAAATTCATATAAATTAAATAAATATAAATCTCACAGGTCGGTTCCCACAGTACACATCCTGACCAACTCTCACACCAGACCCAACAAGCCTTACTTCACAGTACACATCAAATCCTACTCTCACACCAGACCCTACAAGCCTCACTACAGAGTACACATCCTGTCCAACCCTCACACTAGACCCTACAAGCCTCACTACCGAGTACACATCCAGTTCAACTCTCACACCAGACCCTACAAGCCTCACTACCAAGTACACATCCAGTCTCGGATGTGTACACTACCGAGTACACATCCAGTCTCGGCCTTATTCTAACTCACCGCTTTAACCCTCATCCAAACTCTCCACTCTGGCTTCACCCAAGCTCTCTGTTCTCGACAATTTAGGGAATCCTACTTACTGTTTGAGAGGAATCGTGTGTCTTTATTCAACAAGACCCATCCTACTTCCTTATTCATTAAGAGGCATTCAACTTTGTGTTTCTAATTTCCTTTCATTCCTTTTATTATATTTACTATTTTCTACTATACATTGAACTTTCTGTGTCTTCCATTAACATCCGGCTTTGAACTTTACTTTCATTAAACCTCTCAGCACCTACAACATCCGCTCCTAATATATTATCCCACATCTAACACATCACAACAAACCTACCTGGCTGTGCTCTCTGGAGCCTGAGGAAGTGGAGGACACTTACATGTGGTCAAACAGTGGCCTCATGGGAGAATTTTTGACAAATCCCAGACCAGTGGGTTCCGTAGAAAGAGCTTCTGAACCAGTCTTCAAGTTACAGATCTTCACTGGCCCAACTATTTCTGAAAATATAATTATATAGATTAGTGTACCTTAAAAATGGTAAAATGTAGGGAATTGAACTGAGCTTGATGCATTCATATCAGGTGAAATTTGGTCGATGGATAAAAACCTACTTTTTTCATTGATTTTAATAAAGCAATACTTTATTATTTTTACTACTGATTACTGTTTTCAAAAACTGGTTTAGTGTGATTTAAAAAAAATAATCATTAAGGCCAGACATTCCCTAGAGTCATTAAGTCTCAACAAGCTTGATTACTATCTATCAAGATTATTGTAGTCCTGAACACAATTTAGTTTGAAGAAATAACCTCAGTACTGCATATATAAATAAAAAAGCAGCATCTTCGCAGGTGAAACTAGTGATGCACTAGCGTGGTTCGACCAATAGTTCCCTTGACCCACATCTCTAATTGCTGGTACCATGTACCACCATCCCGTACCAGGTACCAGTGCCAGGTACGCTTGCTGGTAAACAGTTTGCAGCCACTAACTAGCAATTACCGCCTGTAACTAGCTGTTGTGCAGCCACCAACTAGCAGTTACCGCCTGTACCTAGCTGTTGTGCAGCCGGTAATGAGCAGCTGCCGCCTCTAATTAGCTGTTATACCGTCAGCCGCTCGTTACCGATGTCATGTACACAAGAGGTGACGTCACCAGCAGGGGTATAGACCCGCCTGCACCTACTGAAGCAGTCTCATCTGTGTCCTCTGGGAGTCATCACTCACCCAGAAAGGGTTAACTCGTCGTCTGCTCTCAACTGTCGTCCTGTGCCGGTGGTAGTGCTGGCTGTAAATACTTTTCGTTCACCAGTCTTCTGGATTAATATTTTTAGACAACGCATTAGGTTCCAATTTGCCCCAAAAATGCAATAAATGAAAACTCGTTCGATTTCACTCAAACTTTTTTGACAAGTTGTATGTGTTACATCTATCCAAGTTTCAGCATCGTAGCATAAATAGGAAGGGAGAAACAAAATATTGAAGTAGGTGTCAAAATTATTCCAAAATGGTCAAAAACGATTATCACACAAAAGTCTCAACTGAAATCATAGCTATGACTCTTTGCTATCACAATAGCATATATTAAACAAATATTATAATTAGTTTAATTTAAAAAAAAAATGATTTTTTTTCTTTTTTTCTTTTATTGGACGATTTGTATGAAACTTATTCACCTGCCTGCTCGTAAGCCTATCTGTAAGTGTGCCACTTTTTGGGAAAATTAGTTGACGTCAACCTCAGCCACAGATTTGAGAACCTTAGACTTTATTATTTGCTTGTGTTTTTTCAATTGACATAAATGTTCAAATAACTTTTTCATTTTTTATTCAATTTACATGAAACTTACACAATATATGTAGAGTGCATGTCTCTAAATGTTGTTGATAGCTTGATTAGTATTGTACACAGACAAATAATAATAAAATAATGGAAGAAATGCGAGTACCCTGTAGGCAAACAGTAAGTGAGGATTACCAGTAGTTTGCTGAGTTTTGTTCACTGACAACAAGTGCACTTAGTTTTCAGTGTTCAGTTGCATATAGTCCTGGGGACCATTCAGGCTTATTCGCATATATATATATAATATATATATATATATATATATATATATATATATATATATATATATATATATATATATATATATATATATATATATATATATATGTCGTACCTAATAGCCAGAACGCACTTCTCAGCCTACTATTCAAGGCCCGATTTGCCTAATAAGCCAAGTTTTCATGAATTAATGTTTTTTCGTCTACCTAACCTACCTAACCTAACCTAACCTAGCTTTTTTTGGCAACCTAACCTTACCTATAAATATAGGTTAGGTTAGGTTAGGTAGGGTTGGTTAGGTTCGGTCATATATCTACGTTAATTTTTACTCCAATAAAAAAAAATTGACCTCATACATAGAGAAAAGGGTTGCTTTATCATTTCATAAGAAAAAAATTATAGTAAATATATTAATTCAGGAAAACTTGGCTTATTAGGCAAATCGGGCCTTGAATAGTAGGCTGAGAAGTGAGTTCTGGCTACTAGGTACGACATATATATATATATATATATATATATATATATATATATATATATATATATATATTAAATACGAGCGAAAAAGTAAGATTAATAATTCTAACACGAATTTTCTCAATCTTCCATACATTTCTTTTCACTGTTGGAGGTAAATCAAAAATCAATTCTCAAAAATTCATTTTTATTTCTAGTCTGACGCGACACGAGCGCGTTTCATAAAACTTATTACATTTTCAAAGACTTTAGTTTACAAATACACAACTGAATAGAACTTACGCATCTCCGATTTTATATCTACATTTTAGTGAGGTGGATGGGGTGAGGTGGCATTAATAGGGTATTAATTTCATCAACACAAGACAGAACAAGAGGTGGCATTAATAGGGTATTAATTTCATCAACACAAGACAGAACACGAAACAATGGGTATTGAATAGAAGTGTTTGTAGAAAGCCTATTGGTCCATATTTCTTGATGCTTCTATATTGGAGCAGAGTCTTGAGGTGGGTAGAATATAGTTGTGCATTAATTGGCTGTTGATTGCTGGTGTTGACTTCTTGATGTGTAGTGCCTCGCAAACGTCAAGCCGCCTGCTATCGCTGTATCTATCGATGATTTCTGTGTTGTTTACTAGGATTTCTCTGGCGATGGTTTGGTTGTGGGAAGAGATTATATGTTCCTTAATGGAGCCCTGTTGCTTATGCATCGTTAAACGCCTAGAAAGAGATGTTGTTGTCTTGCCGATATACTGGGTTTTTTGGAGCTTACAGTCCCCAAGAGGGCATTTGAAGGCATAGACGACGTTAGTCTCTTTTAAAGCGTTCTGTTTTGTGCCTGGAGAGTTTCTCATGAGTAGGTTGGCCGTTATTCTGGTTTTATAGTAAATCGTCAGTTGTATCCTCTGATTTTTGTCTGTAGGGATAACGTTTCTATTAACAATATCTTTCAGGACCCTTTCCTCTGTTTTACGAGCTGTGGAAAAGAAGTTCCTGTAAAATAGTCTAATAGGGGGTATAGGTGTTGTGTTAGTTGTCTCTTCAGAGGTTGCATGGCGTTTCACTTTCCTTCTTATGATGTCTTCGACGAAACCATTGGAGAAGCCGTTGTTGACTAGGACCTGCCTTATCCTACAGAGTTCTTCGTCGACTTGCTTGGTTTCGTCGAAGACATCATAAGAAGGAAAGTGAAACGCCATGCAACCTCTGAAGAGACAACTAACACAACACCTATACCCCCTATTAGACTATTGTACAGGAACTTCTTTTCCACAGCTCATAAAACGGAGGAAAGGGTCCTGAAAAATATTGTTAATAGAAACGTTATCCCTACAGACAAAAATCAGAGGATACAACTGACGATTTACTATAAAAACAGAAAAACGGCCAGCCTACTCATGAGAAACTCTCCAGACACAAAACAGAACGCTATAAAAGAGACTAACGTCGTCTATGCCTTCAAATGCCCTCTTGGGGACTGTAAGCTCCAAAAAACCCAGTATATAGGCAACACAACAACATCTCTTTCTAGGCGTTTAACGATGCATAAGCAACAGGGCTCCATTAAGGAACATATAATCTCTTCCCATAACCAAACCATCGCCAGAGAAATCCTAGTAAACAACACAGAAATCATCGATAGATACAGCGATAGCAGGCGGCTTGACGTTTGCGAGGCACTACACATCAAGAAGTCAACACCAGCAATCAACAGCCAATTAATGCACAACTATATTCTACCCACCTCAAGACTCCGCTCCAATATAGAAGCATCAAGAAATATGGACCAATAGGCTTTCTACAAACAATTCTATTCAATACACATTGTTTCGTGTTCTGTCTTGTGTTGATGAAATTAATACCCAATTAATGCCACCTCTTGTTCTGTCTTGTGTTGATGAAATTAATACCCTATTAATGCCACCTCACCCCATCCACCTCACTAAAATGTAGATACAAAATCGGAGATGCGTAAGTTCTATTCAGTTGTGTATTTGTAAACTAAAGTCTTTGAAAATGTAATAAGTTTTACGAAACGCGCTCGTGTCGCGTCAGACTAGAAAAAAAAATGAATTTTTGAGAATTGATTTTTGATTTACCTCCAACAGTGAAAAGAAATGTACGAAAGATTGAGAAAATTCGTGTTAGAATTATTAATCTTACTTTTTCGGTCGTATTTAATAATATATGTCTACAGGAAAGACTGCTACCAAAATATACTAATATATATATATGTATATATATATATATATATATATATATATATATATATGTCGTACCTAGTAGCCAGAACTCACTTCTCAGCCTACTATGCAAGGCCCGATTTGCCTAATAAGCCAAGTTTTCCTGAATTATTATATTTTCTATAATTTTTTTCTTATGAAATGATAAAGCTGCC